GGGGGGCCTGGGCTCAGGGCACGGCCTTCGGAAAGCGCCTCTTTAAAGCCACGTTCTTACCGCTGTGTCCTACCGGTCTACGTCATCCGCAGTGGCCACGCGATCAGGGGGCAGGGGGAGCGAGCGAGCCGGCCTCCTCGTGCCTGCAGCCGCCGACCCGCAGTGTGGCTACGCGCAGTGTGGCTACGCGCAGTGTGACAGCAGGCGGCCCCGACGCCCGCCGGCCTGCACCGCGCTCCGGGCGAGGGTGCCTACCCAAGGTGGACGGTCCGGATGTGCTTCTGGATGCCCGCCGCGGTGCTCAGCACCTTCCCACAGCTCTTCCAGAGGCATTTGAACATCACCTTCATGGAGTTCTGGAAAGGGGGGGAAAGTGACATTAAAACGGACATGAACCGACCTATCCGCACCGACTTTCTGCCGTCCCAGCGCATCTTCCCCTTGTTTTTATCTGAAGCGCGTATAAGACTCGACAGTGTTAATGGGCGAATCCTCACACAAGGAGTGTTTGCTGCTCACTTTTCAAACGGTGCAGCTATGCTCCTTAGAAGTCCTTCCACCTGCCCGGCGGCCCGAGGTTGACCTTTCCGTGTCAATGGCCACCTGGCCCGCTGGCTTCGGGCTGGCTTTGACCACTGGGAGGCACTGAAGGGCAGGAGGCCAGGGGTCCCTCAGCCACCTTTGTGCCCGGCCAGGGGTGGGTGGGGGCTACGCTTCTCCTCCATAAGCTACTTCTTCCAGAGTGCAGGTCCCCTCTGGGCTCCGGGACCCCCTCCCCGACCGGTGTCTTCAGGCTTAGGGGTGGTAATGGCCGCTTTCCCCGACCTGTCTGCACCTTTGCAAACACCCCTTCACCCTGCCTACACCTTTTCATTAACCTCTCCTCAATTACCCGACTTGGGGACACCACCCGCTTCCCGCCAGAACCTTGATCAAAACAGGGGGAACGTGGGTTAGAAAAGGGTATGAACAACAGACTCTTGTTTTAGGGGTGTGTGTGATGCAAATAGAGACGGATCATCGCATGGCGGGAAAACTGGGCTGGCGTAGCTTGTGTTCACGTTCATTTCCAAATGTAAAAACGACCCTCTTTTTTAATTTTAAAAATTTATTTCTTTAAAAATGGAAGCCGTCCCAGAATCCTCGCCCGGCTAATTCTGGAGCATAAGCATGCACGCGCGGGATCATCTCCACTCCGACGAAACCGAGCGCCTTCTCTCTGCAGAGGCGAAGATGTCGCTGCGTCAAACCGGGAGACCCTGAAATGGGGAGTGGGGGGGGTGCTTTTCTGAGCCCCCTAACTGCATCCAACAGCAACAACCCCGTGTCTGCACAGACTCAGCCACGGGAGGAGGACAGGAGAACGTGGCTGAGTGAGCTCGGCCAGGCCACCGCCCGGGAGGCCAGGCCAGGCGCGGCAGCCCGGCCCGGACGCGACCACGTGTGATTCGGCCCTGGCTCCCCGTCGAGGTTGCACCGGAATCCACGACGCTGAAGGTGCGAGGCAGGGGCAGCCCTCGTCGTTGCTCCGGCACGTGCGAGGGCCTCCCACACATTCGCCGCGTTTGACGCTCACGGCCAGGCCGGAGGCGCTGGGGGATTGGGGGTCACCAGCAGACTCGCGAGGTCCACAGCAGCTTCTGGGCGGCTCTGTGGGCTCGCCCGGCCTCGGCACTGTCCCTGGGATGGAGGGACGGCGGCCTGGGCATTCTCCGCCGATGCTGTGGCTTCGGGGCTGTCTAAGGCCCGTGCTGGGCTGTGGGCTGAGGTCCGGGCCTAGGCACCCCGGTCTCCGCCTGGCCGTCCACGCAGGCCTCGGCCCTGCCCCAACTGCTTCCTATTTGAATGAATGGTCTCTTCTCCTGACAGACCCAGCCTGACCCACGGCACTGTCACGGTGACGCCGAAGGCCACCTTCCGTTCTAAGAGCGGCAACGTGGCTGGATGCTGAAGCATCATACGCATGCCCAGGGACGAGTCCAAACGAGGCAGCTGAGAGGAGCCTCAGGCGCGTTTTATATGGCGACCGGGGCGTGTGTACAGGTGTACACGTGCGTGTTGGGGGCGCGGAGGCTCAGGTATCCCCCGCCCCCTGAGAACACGCCTAGGGACGAGTCCAAACGAGGCAGCCGAGAGGAGCCTCAGGCGCGTTTTATATGGCGACCAGGGTGTGTGTACAGGTGTACACGTGCGTGTTGGGGGGGGCGCGGAGGCTCAGGTATCCCCCGCCCCCTGAGAGCACCAGGGTCTTGAGGGCAGGATGGCAGCCAGGTGTTCCGCACAGGTGAGTCTGCTGCATTACCTCAGGCGGGAGGCACCCACACGGCTCGGCAGAAGCTCCCAGGACCCTTTCAGGATCGAGAGGTCCACTGAGACCCTCGGCAGGTTCCAGAAGACGGAGGAGTGAACGGATGTATCTGAAAAGTCAGTAACCGCTCAGAGGCTGGCAGGGCTTCCAGCTCCTTCCTTTACTGGGACGGCGGCCTCACCCGCCTTCTCGCCACTTGGGGAGTTTCTCGACTTGCCGAAGGCGCGTAGGGACTGTGAGGCGTGTGAGGACGGACGAATCGGAGCGTAGCGAGCACGAGCTAAGCTCCCTCCAGCTCTGCGCACTGCTGACAACGCCGAGGCGACAAGCCAGCTGGGAAGAGCTTCGCGGCTGGAGGATCGCGCGCCGTCAGCCGCGTCCGCCTCCCTCACCTCGCCTGACGACCCCGGGCCGCGCGCACCGCTTCGCGTGTCGGCGGCTCGTCCCGGTTCGCGGTGTGGAATTCCGTCGGGGGAACGTGCTGCAGTTTGTTTACCCCTCTTCCTGTTCGTGGACATCCGGGCCGCTTCCAGCTTGCGGCGATGGCGAACGATGCCGTGGACACTTGTCTGCAGGTCTCCGTGGACGCAGGTGCACACCCAGGAGTGGAAGGGCTGGGTCCAACGGCGGATGCAGATGAAACCTGCCAAACTGTCTTCCGAGGGGCCGCACCGTTTTGGACTCCCACCGGCCACGAGTGAAGAGTTCGCGTCGCCGGCACTTGGCATTCTGCACACCAGAAAGTGCACCGTGGGGTCCCGCGTAGCTGAAGTCCTACACCACGCAAGGCTGAGCTGTCGTGACAAGTCGGCCCCGTGGTTGCCGGTCGGGGTGCGGGCGTCTGGCTGCGGGAAGGCACCGGGGGGCTGGCCTGGAGGGGGTGGCGGTCATCCACGTGTAGAGAGTCATCAACCCACCAGACAGTACACTTGAAATGGGTTCATTTTATTGCGTGGAAATCATACGCCCCAAAAGGTGATTTTAAATGACTTCTATGAGAACAACAAAAGCCTCTTGAATGAGTTGGAATCCCTGGTCATTACATGTTTTCTGTCAGTGGGTCTAAAGCGCCTCTCATCTTTGGGGACATGTGTCCACTTCCAGACACGATCGAGCGGTCTTCTGAGTGGACAGGTCTGGGCCGGGCGAGTTCTGAAGTCCTTCTGGCTTTGATGCTGGATCCTGTATATGGCCCGGCTGGCAGAATATTCCGAGATGGTGTCACTGAACTGCCTAGACCCCACTTTTCTCTACCATGGTCCTCTGAGGCCAATCCCCTCCCTTGCTCCGGCTGGCGATGCTGTGTCGTTGTCGTGACATCCATCCAGCGTGCCCCGGGCACGGCCCTCCCCGCAGTCCTAACGCACGGCCGATTTCCGGAGCAGCATCCCTGCAGAGGGCACGCTCTGCTCCGAACTACTGGGTAGGCGCGAGGTCAGAGTGTGCGTGAGGCTTCGGGGGCTGGTCGCCTTTTCGGACACTCATCACAACTGAGAGTGCCGCGGCCTTCTGGTTCTGGAAGACGAAAACGCAGCGGGGGGCCGGCGATCGTTCACTGCTCACCGCCGAACCCCGCTGCTGACGCTCCCTCCGCCGGCTCGGCGCTCTGTCCCTCTGCCTGGAGGCCCCCTCGTCCACGGGCCCGTGGCTCCCGGTCCAGACGGCTGCGAAAGCGAAGCGGGCTGGGACTCGGCTGCCCTTGCGTCGCTGCCGATGTTCCGACACGTGGAGCTGGACGCGGGCCCCTCCTACGACCCCCGATTCGTGCCATCGTCACTGCGGCCCTCGCCCTTCGCCGACCGTGGGCTGGCCCCTCCCGCTAGCCCGAAACAGGCCCCAGGTAGCGGAGTGTCCTGATATGGTCGGCGTGAGGTCGGGCCGGAGGATGGAGGCGAGTGCCCCCCCAACACCCACACCCCAATTTCCATCCGGTCAGATCGTAGGATGGGTAAAAAGGAAAGCGAAGCATGAGCGGCCAGCGCCTCCCGCCCAGAGTCCTTGCGGCCCAGTGGTGGGTGACACGGCCCCCACGTCACAGGCGCGGACACCGAGGCCGAGGTGTGCACCTCGCTGAAGGTCCCATGAGCACTGAGCTGGGGTGCTGACTCCACACCCCGAAATGTGCCATGCTGCTCGAGAATGGGCAACTCCGTGGTCCGACACAGAAAAAAGCACAGTGATAACTATCGGTACCTCCTGATCCTCCGGGGGTCTTCCGGCGTGGACGGTTATGGACGGTTACCTCTTAGCAGTCTAGGGTTTGTTTTTGTCCAGACTCCCCGTGTGGCCGTCTCTGGGGTCACTGTGTCACCTGTGGTCACGACAGGAATGGCACGTCCCCCTTCCCGCAGTCCAGGTCCTGCTCACACCACCCGCCACCCGCTCTTCTCCGAGCCGGGAAGGACCGCTGGGCCATCTGAAACCCCAGGGCAATGCTTCCGCTAGCCCCGGGTGGACACGGCTGGCTGCTGACCTCCGGGGCCAGGAGGAAGCCCTTCATTTCTCCTTCGAGCATCCCCATCCACCTTGGTTGAAGGTCATCTGAGCGGCAGTCAGCCCCCCGCAGACAGCCTGCAGGCCCTCTCTCTGCCGTCGTTCCTTCTGGACCCTCTGCACCCCCCTCCCGCCCTGTGATGTTGGCCATAGCTGCATCTGATTGTTTTCTCTCCGTGGGCGGAGGGAAACGTGGATTCTTTGAATTAATTTGCCCTCAAGAGTTTCCTCTTTGCAATTCTTGCGAAGCTGATCTTATCTCGGCCACATTATAAGGGACTCGATCGTGGCCAATCCACGTAACCTCGAAGAGCCTCTTCTGCAAAACGGCCATGTGACTAGGCTGAGGAATTCCGTGATGATCCTGTGAAATGCTGCATTTGAAAGCGTCTTCTAAACCGTAACTATAAACGTCGTTGTTATCACCGCAGTAGTAAGGGATGATGGCTGCCGAGGCGGTGCCTCTCGCTTGCGAGTCCTCTGCAGAAAGGGGCAGGTGGACCCCAGAAGAGGCGGGACTGGGGTGTCCGTGCGCCGGCTGGAGGAGGGGCGGAGGACGGCCAGGATCGCGCTTCACGGTCAGGTCCAGGGGTGCTGCTTCTCCCTTTGCTTACGTCGCTGCATGCCAGTTCTTGGGGTTTCAGGGCTCGCGAGCCCGTTCTACTGAGGGTCCCATTTAATCTTCATGGTTGTGCCGACAAAAGTTTGGTAACAGCCTGAGTTACAGACGAAGAAGCTGATGATTAGAGAGGTGAAGATTTTCCTAAGTTCTCAGGGCGGGAAAGGGGTTGGGTGCGGCTCTTCGATTTCTGACCAGGGCCCTTTCATTGATCGTGAATCGCGTTATCTCTTTATGACTGAGAACAGGGGCTTCCACGCTTTCGGCCACGAGCCACGGGAAGAGACCCGTTTTGCACAGCACACATGGGCGTGTAACAGAAACAAAAGCGTCGGGAAGCAACACTTGCCCTGATGACGTGATATGCACCCCATTCTGTCCTATTCACGGCTCATTACCCTGCTTTCGGCAGGGCGCCTCACAAGCACGGGGTCCCTGTGCTCTGAGGCCTTGCCACAAGGCCGGACCACGTCCGATGGGGGCCAGGACCACACACTCCCACGACCGGAGAGCGAGCCTGTGCAGCCCGGAGCAACAGGATGACCCTTCAGGCCCACGTGGCTGTCTTGCCTGTGGCTTCCCCCTGATTCAAGTGCCCGCTTCTCTCTCGACTAGTCGAGCAAAGACCCAGCGTCCCTTGGGACCTACAGGAGGCTGGAACGAACACATCCAGCCCCCCTGCTCGGTGGACTGGGGTGTGAAGCAGCGATCCTCGTGCACTGCCCTGGGAAGGACGGGGGACCCCGCTGTGCCTGTTCCCTGTGCCTCGCAACCTCCGCGTCACTCGCCACTAGGACAGATGTGGAGGGGGGGGGACAAAGCGGGCCCAGCGCCAGCTCTTCATTTTCCCCTTGACGTAAGTCGGGGGGAGGGGAGGGTGCCCCGCAGTCCTCCGGGTTTGGCGTTGGAATTTCGTTTGTGAACAGTCGTTCGTAACGAAGCTACCGACGTCGACTTAAAACTCTAACATGTGAAGTCACAGCGTTGCACCGACATGGAGACTTAAAAAATAATAGTAAAGCGTTTTCTAGATACAGCGGCAGAGGGCCTCATTCCACGAAACAGAAGTGCGTTTGGGAAGCTGTGAGTGCGCGTGATCACTTAAACACACGCGAAGAGCGTGAGGAGTGTGGGCGTCAGGCCCTGGCCTTTCTCTGCCGTGCACGGCAGGGCGACTTAACCTGCTCATGCCCAGGCCCTCAGCCTCCTCCTACCAAGGTGAGCGGACAGACGGCCGTGCAGGCCGGCCGAGAGGATGAATGGACGAGCCACGCATCTAGCGACGTGGTTAAGTAGATCCTTTCACGTCTAACTCAGTAAACATGCAATTTGGGGCTCGTCGGTACTACTGTGTTCCCACGTCAGCTTTCACGTATGTGTCACCTCCCGTTTGGTAAAGATAAGATGCAAAATACCCTTTCAATGTGCTGATCGAAGAGAAAAGCATCTTAACTTCCGCTTAGAGATGAAAATTAAGTCCTGCGGAGAGAGCGAGTTAAGCGCCGCACGGAGCCCGAAGCCCACTTTGGCTGGAAAGCGCGGGGGCTTCCTCCTGCGGTGACCCGGCCAGAGGGAGGGGACGGGACGGGACGGCACCTCGGAGGCCGCTTGCAGCAGCCTGGCCGCGACCCCGCG